ATTATATGTGTTCAAGAGAATATATTGTTTAGAGTGAGCATCATCACACCCCTCTTCTATTCTTCACCCGTATTATTTTATCTTCTACTAGAAATTTTAAAGGATATTGATTCATATACAGATTCACCTGCATTATTTTCCCTTTGTTCCTCTTTCCCAGTTTAAACCCTAATCCTAGGCTACTACCCTAGCCCCGTAGAAGGATTTCTTTGCCGCCGTGCCCAGTACTGGCGAAATGACCAATTGCACTGCAGCCTGTGCGGGTAGTACGAGCACTATCATGTGTATTTCTCGGCAGATTATTATGTTATAATTGTATAAATCTTCTTGGATAATGAGAGGGTTATAATTTGGTAGGTGAAATTAAATAATGTCACTCATAGATTATTATGTTGAAATTATTTAGAATAATGTTAGGGAAATCAAATTTTTAAACCAAAACCACATTCATTTATTATTCACCCTTGATATCAAATCTAATGACATTCTTCTTCACTTGTAAGTGAGAGATGTTATGTTTGATTTTGCTAAAGGCAAATTCGAACCACATTATTGCTAGCTCATTGTGAGGCTTAGGCTACTTCCCCACCCCCTTAATGTAAATAATATCGTTTGTTCAACAAAAATATATCAAATCTAATTGTGAGTGATTATACATTTCTTGGTTATCTGTCAACAAAACATCTTTCTTATGATTAATTGATAATTTTATAACTTTGCATTAGGCCTTATTCTGTAATAGGAGAAATTTTTAGTTGTAACAGGAACACAAGTGTACACCACGTGTTTTAATAGGAATGGTGAGAAATTTTATTTTTTAAGTTATTAACTTTTTAGCACACATATCCCACCATTTATTTAGTGATACGTGATGTACCACTCCGTGTACCGGTCACACTGAAAAATCTCTCCCGTAATGGGCTGGCCCATCCGCAAGCAGCTCCTTATTGTTTTCAATTATGGCCATGTCTTCGACCTAGTTTGGGAGTGAGGTGCTTAAAAAAAAAACATCCATGAAAAAAAGCTGTGAGGGTTTTAGGTGTTTGGTAAACTGAAAAAAAAGGGCTTATTTTGGAAGCTGCTGTGAGAATAAACTGAAATTAAAGGAAAAAGCTGAAGCTGCTATTTGTAGCTTTGGAAAAATGGCTTTTTTTTCAAAGCACACGGAGCTAAAATGCTTCTTTAATGAAAAGACCCACTATTTGACTGCTTTTTTTTCCAAAAGCACTTTTACAAAAAAGTTTATCAAACACTCTGCTGATTTATTTCACAGCCGCTTATTCTCACAGCACAGCCGCTTATTTTCACAGCACAGCAATACCAAACCAGCCCTTCATCCTTACTTTAAACGCTTCCATATTCCATCGCCATCTCTTGTATCCGTGAACTTAATTAAACTCTTCATTTCCGCGTTGTCGATAAAAATCCATGATGGTTTTCCCCATCCGAAATCTGCTGCATAAAAGGGCACTCTGAACGTACTGCTGCAACCATAACTCTCCATATCATCCCTATTGATGAGGTTCCCAAACTCTGAACATTTCAAATGCCTCGTCCGCACTAACTCCAGTACCATATTTTATTTTAACTTCCTTAGTGCTTTTCCCCAATTCAGCAACCAAGCTTTGAAGATCGTTATCATCGGCGGCTACTTGAGGATGACGACCACGAATATCTGATTTTTTTTTCTTTGCCATACACTACCCCACTAGACTCCCCATTAAAATTTTCTCCGCCAAGGGTCGTCGCAGTATTTCCCGCATATTCACTGATTGTCACCACATGGATTGCTTTATAAGACCCGAGTTTGATCTCAATGCTTCTATTGCGCATTTCCAAATGAGGGCGGGCATAACTTCAACACACGTAGGGTTTGGCACGCTGGAACTAGCAGCTTTGGACTTGAGAGCAGCAATCTTTGAGGCACCAAACACAAATCTTTCTGTGTTACACTTTTCTTTAATGTATTTTGTGGCGGGGTGGGGTGTGCTGTTGAGAATGAATCCCCATATTGCCAATTGGTTTTATGGTGGAACCTCAACTTTCTTCAATTAGGAAATCTAGTGGTGGAAAGAGAGAAGCTGGAGCAGAAAATATTTCTGCAGCAGGAAGCGTTTCACCACTGGGTGATGATCAGCAACATCACTACTGATGACTGATTGACTCGCTTAGCATTGGCGAATTGCAACCCAAGTTTTATGGTCCATTTGAGTCCGGTTTGACGAATGTGCTCACTGTAAAGCATCGGCCTATACGGCTATACCCACAAGAGTACATTGAGGAATATCCTCTCGGTATAACAACTAAACAATATCATCCTAACATTCTACATTATCTTGGACTCTTGTTTAACACTAGTATTAGATGGCTTGTGCCTTCAGGTTGTGGTGACGTCATATGATCAGCGTGAAGGAGTTGTTTAATTGGTCCAAGATGATCTGGTTTGTCCAAAATCTTTGATACGGGACAGTTGGCGTAGGCCTCAAGAAACACTGCCCCACGGTTGTTGCAACAGATTGAACCATTAGTTTTGAATTGTCCTACCCAGGGATAGAAGTGAGCTAGGGTAAAAATCTTTGATATGGCAAAAGTTAGAGTGTGAATGTCAAGAACACTCAACTTGCCAAGTAGATAAAGAAATGTCTCCTGCCCAAGTTGCTTAGTAAAAATGTAGGTTGTTGCCTAATTGAAACATAAGTTGTTGTCATCTTTCCTTACTGAATTCGTTCACGTACAATAAGGCAATCAATATCTATATCTTGGTGTGTTCATGAAACACTGGATTCATTTCCAAAGCAGTTGGGATAATGTTGGTTTGGATGTGATTGTTTTTGTACGAGACTTCTTTCTGTGTAACATGAGTGATTTTTGTTCTTCCCGTACATAGGGTCATCAGTGAACAAAAGTTAGTTACAGTTTCACTTTTTCAATACTAGCCTAACATTAGACAAAACTCAATGCCTATCCAGTCCAATCCTAACCTGACTACTTTCAAGTACCAAATCTGATCCAAGCCAGACCACCAAACGTACCCTGAGACCATAACGTTGAAAGTCGATTAGCAGGGTTTATTGTGGTTAAATCCCAACAGGGTTTATTGTGATTAAATCCTAATTGGTCAATGTCACTCAGTACTACGGTCTAGTGGTATTCTTCTTCATTTAGAAATGAGGTATTAGGTTCGAATCTCATGGATGGTGAATTCAATACCAAATTAAGTTGACCATTGTGGGGTTTAGCCGAACTCTCCGCCTCTTAATATGAAAATATCGATGTACCAAAAAAACAATAAAAAAAATCCTAATTGGTCGACAACCAAATTAAATAGCCATTTATTGTTGGATTCTCAACAAATATTTCTTTCCTAGACGAAGTATCCAATAAAAAATCCTACATAAAAGAGGCATCCAAAAAGTTTATTGTGAGGCTAGTCACACCACTTTTTCTAATATAAATAATATTGTTTGTTTAAAAAAATTTAAAGAGGTATCCAAAAGAAAAGATGTTAGCTACCAACTTAAGGACTGGTTTAGTATTGACGTGCTTTGAAAAAAAACTTCTTCTTCTGTGTTGTGAGAATAAACTCATTTTTGTTACTTCACATTTTCAGTTTTTTTTCACCCAAAACTGTGAAAATAAACTGTTTTTAAGTGTTTACCAAACACTTTTTTTTAGCTTAGCTTTTTTTATACCCATTTTTTATAAAAACACCTCAGTATCAAACTAGTACTAAATCTCCTTATTTCTTAAAGAAGGGATTGCATCTCTTTTTCTCACACAGTCATGCTTTATATACAACATACACATGCAGATTTTAGCAAAATTAAGAAATCCTAGCTGCCTTTCCACCTTTTGTTTTCCAGTTTATAATGTTGCATAATGATCGAAGCAATTCATTGTTTAGGTCTATCACTAAATCACATTACACAGAGATCATGAGAATAAACCTCTCAAATTATATTGGGAAATCAGTATGATTTTGATTCATTAAAATTAATAATTTCAAATGGTTAGTTAACATTTTAATGCGAATGACTTCTTCCTATACCAATTCCATCGTTCCTATACTAATTTCAGATGGTTTGTTTCCAATTGTTGCACAAATCAAACATGGGTCGTCTCAAAGAAAACAGACCAAACATATGGGAAAGGAAATACAATGATATTTCTTGATTTACTTTTCCAACTTACCAAATATAGGAAATGAATTCGTTTCTCATCCCCTTGAAACATATGGAAATTGATCTCCCATCAATTCATTTCCACAAGCCAAAAGGGAATTAATCCACTAGGAGGCACACATAATAACCCATATTTCTGTCATGATCCAAGCTAACAAGTAAGATATATTCTGAAATTACAATAACATGACATTAAGATCATAGATTCAGTAAACCGATATATTATAAACTAATTACAATTAACTTATATATGTTAAAAAAAAAAATTGGCGGAGCATTCGATTCCGGACTAAAAAGCTAATTAGAATTTTCACTAGGACTAATCTTTGACCAATTAAATATTATTAAACAAAAAGTTGCTCGAGTCCTATTTGAACAATTGAACCCCAGCCGTTATCTTCCCCAACCAACAATATTTTTTTACCCCATTTTACCCCAGCTGATTAATTACAGCAAACTTATCGGGTACTCAAACATACTAATCTAGGCACAACTCATAATTGGAGGGGATAATCATCAGAGATTTCAGCCAAACCCCTAAAAGTCACAAATTAATCTCCATATCATATCTTAATTAATTTCCACTAATTAATCGGGGCGATTATTTTACTTCCAAAAAAACATACCAAAAACAAAAGCAGCCAGAATTCAGAGAAAATCAATTAGGGTTTTGAAACTTTTTGATAGGGTGTCAATCATAGAGTTTGTTATACAACCAGCTTCTCTAGTGAGAACCCTAACCCAATACAAAAGGGAAACTCAACCCTTCTATCAGTTTAGCTGAAAAAAAATAATTTTGTATTGATTTTCTTATTCTTCATGAAAGACTTCCAAGAGAAAAACGAGCACCTAAGAGAAGATCATGAAGAAGAAGAAAATCAAGAAATCGTGGATGATGATGTGCATTCACAAGAGACTGAAGAACAAGTTCCGGTAAGTGACGATGATGATCATAAGGGTAAACAAGTAGTGCTAGACAGTGACGTTGTTCATCATCGAAGCGGAGATCGGGTTTGTGAGCAATGTGGGAAGATATTTCAAAATGGAAAAGCTTTAGGAGGTCACAGAAAAGTTCACTTTAATCAATCTCTTCTTCCCAAGAAGAACAAAGCATTGTTTAAGCCGAAGAAGAAACATGTTGCTTCCAATGAAGGCGGCGGCAGCAGTGAAGTCTCGTGCTATGTTTGTAAAAAGGATTTTCCATCAATCAAATCCTTGCACGGACACATGAGACTCCACCGCGAAAGAGATTGGAAAGGTGTGAGACCTCCGGGGGCTGTTCAGCCTCCTTCGGAAGAGAGCAAATCTTCTTCGTACGAAAATGACTCCAGTGATGATGACAATGATGATGGTGATGGTGACAGTAGTTTTTCCGATCACACCATAGAGACAGACAACGATGCAGCAAAATTTTTAGTAAACTGGATGAAGATCGAACAAAGACGCAGGATTGCTAACCAAAGAGATCCTAATGGTGAAGACAAAGTTCGTGAATTCAGAGGGAAGAAGCTAATAGAAGAGTCACCAGTTGGATACAAAGGTAACCCTTCTTCCAAGAACATGAAATTTGATGGTAGAAGTAGTAAGAAAATTACCATGGAGGGAAGTAAAAGTTTTGGAGGTACAAAACCCAAAAAATATATTGGCTTGCTCGATCAAACCCTCAACCAGATTTCAAGCAAGCCTCAAGAGTTTAGGTTCAGTAGATCAGATGCAACGATGAGTGACATGAACGAATCGGGGTTCAGTAGTAAGTATGCAGCGGACCAAGTTAGTGAATCTGCATCGGAGAAGGCAATAGAAGAGTCACCTCGTGGATACAAAGGCAATACTCCATTGAGGATCAAGCTGAAACTTGATGGTAGAAGTAATAAAACTCTGGATAAAAGTAGAAGTTCTCGGAGTGTGTCTTTTGTGTTGAATAAGTTAAGTGTTGGAGGTAAAGAAAAGATTTCTGTGGAAGAAGATGACGATGATGAGAATGCTGATCAGATTAGTTGGAAGGTGAAGTCGAAGAAGGCGATGATGAAGGGAGTTTCAAAAACAGATAAAAAGCCAATCAAAGACACTGCTTTACTCGACCAAGCCCGCTACCAGATTCCATCGAGAACTCAAGAATTTGGTGCTACTTATGCTGAAAGGGGAAACTACAATGGCTCTAGTGCTACCAGTAACCAAGTATTTGAAAGAGCAGAAGAAGCTGAAGCAGTGGAGCAGGAGACCAAACAGTTTGTATGCAACATCTGCCCCTGCAAGTTCTCAACAGGTCAGGCTCTGGGAGGCCACAAGAGAGGTCACAACTATAGAATGGCAGTGGAAAATGCTCCGGGGAAAGCAGAAGTAGCACCGGTGGATGAAGAAGACCGTGAGATCAGTATAGTTCCTGAAAAACTAGACTTGGATCTCAATCAACTTCCTTACGAATCGAACGATGAGTGAAATGGGGAAACTGGTTAACTTGCTTGTTGATACTCGCATTTTATGAATTTCAGGAGAGGTTTTAACTCCTCCAAGTAATTTGACTCTGATAGTTTGATTTGTTTCTCATATAGAAAAGAAAGAATCAATAAATTATTGTTCGTCATTTGTTTCTAAAAGAGAAGTGATTTTCACGCTCCCCTTTTCTCGTTCTAGACTCCTTCCCCTTGTTTCTTTTTCTCATTCTATGCTCCATCCCCTTGTTTCTAGCCTTATAATTGATTAAATCAAAGGAGAATTAACGTACATAAACAAGGGAGAAGCGCAGGAGGAGAAACTGGGAGTACGAAAATCCCTACCGTTCGCCAAATGAAATTGATGAAAATTGCACAAGTTTGTTGCAGCATTTCTCAGTATATAAACTCATCATTTGTAAATGCAGCATGTATTTTGGAATGCAACCAAATTATGAATGTGGTGCTTCCACCATTCTTGATGCACAATTCTTTCGAAAGGTAACAGAAAATTTCCATGCTGGGTATTCCTTTCTTTGATAATTTATCTGGGCATGCTACATGTAAGTTTGCTATGCATTCTGTCATGTTTATGCTGCAAAATCAGCAGGAAAACAATTCCAACCCGGGCATGTCACATACAATTTCTGCAGCACAACCGGCACAGTGTAATACGAAACAGGTGAGGCCTACTGTTATGCGATGGATGCACGTGATTATTGTCGAACGCAGCACACCTACAAAGAATTTGCACCATGTCAACGGAAGTCAATGGATTTAAGCTGAAAGTTGAGTTCTCTGCCCGCTATAAATTTCTTCACTTTCAGGTAATAATCTCTGGTCAAAATCTTCTAGACTCTTCACCAAAATTGGCCTCCCAAGTTCCTGGGTCTGCAGCATGGAATAGCAGTCGTTAAGAACTGATGATGTATAATTGGTTTGGAAGTAAGTCAACATTGACTTGTACTGCAAGGTTCAATTTCAAAATATAACAGAAGTTTGCAATTTGCCAAGCACAGAAGTCTGGGAATGCACGGAAACTAACCAGACTGTCACAGAAGAACCACACTCGAAACAAAGCTGATACATTTCACTAAATATAAACTGAATGACTCTTTTTCTGGTAAATTAATTTGAATGACTGGAAACAATGAGTAAGAAGAACTAAAATGAAAAGATTAGACGTTGCGTCAGTCTATTACTTATGATCTTCAATTTGTGTGACAGACACCAATTCCAAATTACAAGGTTGACGTTACTCCAATTTGCTTAGATGCCCCAGAATCCCAAATTGAAACTATTAGTAAATTACGGGGAATAAAAGTAACTTTGGCTTATGAAAATGTGATCTTCTATCACCAAAACATGGATAAGTTGATCATAATCCGTATGCAGGCTTCATTTTTTTTTTTTTTTCTTTGGATAGGTAATGAAATATAGAAAGAAATGCATTATAAGCAATAACTTCATTGAACATTGGAAACATCTATTGAATGAGTTGTTGTCTAGAACCTTCATACCTCGGAGTTTCTATGTCGTTCACTTTCATGTATCTGTTCAACTGTCATTCCAAACCATTCATCGATCCAAGAAAAACAATTCCGATGGCTTTCTAGGAAAAGAGCCCTTTCACCCTATAAAAAGTATCCCGGTTATAATAACAGTTAAAAGAATAAAAGAGTAAAATGAACTAAAACTTCACAAATACGTGAAACTGGAAACCAATATAAACTTAAAATTTCACTCCGCTTAGAATCTTTCTTAGAAAATAAGAAAGCGAATATTTGTTAATAGAGAAAAGAAGAAGTGCAGACGAGGACAAGGTGACCTCAAACACAGTTTACTAGCTTTTTAGAGGATATCAATCTTCTGATACTTCCACTGGAGTTTTAATGCTTTACTCACATCATATGTATGTTGTTCTAAAGCCAATCAGATAGAGATGAATATTTTATCAAGAAGGTTGATTTGGTACAGTTCCAACCCAAAGAAAGTGACATAATGAAAGTTTCTAGAAATGTCTGTGACTAGGGACATATAGAAAATTGACAAGTGGAAGATCGGACATGTTACATAAGCAATGGTTACGACTGGTCAAGGTTAATTTTCTGGTCTCGTTGTTTCCACCGTATCATTATTTTTTATTTCCAACAAAAGTAAACATTGCCCCATTCTGCTGCAAAACAAACCTGAACTATAAAAAGAAATTAACTACTTCTAACTTATTGGTTGTCTTTTTCATACAAAAACAAACTGATGCTGCCATTTGCGTAGCTATTGTATTATAGAAGATGTTCGTCATAACCAAAAGACGTATAACAAAAATAATAAATGATAACGGTCAAAATCTAAGAGAGCCTACCAATAGCAAAGCTTGTTCAAGTTTATTGCCAAAACCCCAATATGGTGCATCAATGGTGACCAGTTTGTAGGCTGTCATAACTGGATCTGACTTATCCTGTAATTTAAAAGTAATAATTAACAGGTTGAAAGCTAGATAGAGAAGTATCTAAGATAAATATAATCAGAGCGCATCATCTTATCCATCTCATAAATAAATATTCAAGCACAAAGTAATACATAATAAGATTAAGCTCCTGGTAGGGCATATTCCAACCTGCCATCCCTCTAAAAGTGGACCACGTCCAGTTTTCGCTGATGTAAATTGGGATAAGTCCGTGTTGTTAGTGCCAACTATGTAACTCCAGTAATCTCTTGCTGATGAAGCAATATCAACAATTTCCACATCCCTAGTTGCTAATTGTGCTTTGCTTAGACCGTGAACCTAGGTTAGAGTTAACGAAGTATCAAAGAGGATGATGAAGCCATTAAATTACAAATTTCGGGCTACAAAAAGAGTTGCAAAATAAAAGAACAGAAAACTTTTCTAGAAACCTACATTATCCGAATCGCCCTTGTCAGCTCTGTGAACAGTTTCGACGGTCAGCTGAAACTTGGTGAAGTATGGGCACTGCAACATCCCAAAACAAGATCATGCTTCTGATTTTAAAAAGTCCAAGAAGAGATGGAGTATCAATTGTTTTCAGAGATGGACAAGAAAGGTTACCTTGATTACTGTGCCATTGGCCATACATTTGCAATCAACCAAAATCCCCATTAGAATAAGTTCGAAATGTGTTAAAAAACAAGGTATACAACAATTGACTTAAAGAACGCTTGGAAAACCTGTTTTGCATCTTGGGTATGCGTTCCAGGCTTCCTCTTGCATGATGAGAGCTTCTGCTGGTGCAAAAGTGGTAAGCCAACCAGGAGCTTTGCTGGAATAAGAAAATGAATGAATAAGTAACCTTGGAATGGATAACATACACGTCTAAATGAAACGGTATTAACAGATGATCCACTTCACCGAAAAAAGAGAGTAAACTAACAGTGAGGCCACCATATATGTAGGAACATAGGTGGTACAATGCTGTGGTAAAATCAGGACCAACATACATTATTTTTCAACTGAAGAAACAAACTTCAACATCATCAAATAAACAATTTAGCGACGGAAACTTAAACTGACAAATTTGAACCGGTTTTACCTTTGTAGACGATAAATTTTAGAACTGTAGTGACCCTTTCCAAATACATCATCTTCAAAGGGTCTACTCTCTACTATTTCCACCCCTTCGGTACTGGTCGTGTTCTGTTTCTGCATCTTCATGACCATGTACGTCTGGGCTACTTGATACTGCAGTTCAAGTTCAAATATGTGGTTAACAATCACTCCACGGTTCTTTTACAAGTGAAAATTAAACAAAACTAATCGCTTCGCTAAAATTTTAGTAGAACACAGAATCATGAACTCTTGAACTACATTTACCTCTTCCAATGACACGGGCATGACAATACGACTTCACGCAAGTCCCCAGTTGAAAAGACAAGAGTTAAGGAAACCTCAAAAGAAAGGGGACATAGTTTTTGTATTGCAAAAGTCATACAAATTTACCAGATAAATGAAAGATAAAATCTTTAAGTAGCATTCAGTTCTAATTAGCTAAATACATAAAGAACAATAAGAATAAGGGCGGCCCTAAGCTAACAAGGCTCCCGCAATGCGAGGGACATAAACAACCCCTATTAATAACAGCAAAGATTGGAACTTTGCCTTCCTATTCATTGTTCTTCATTCACCAAACCAACCCTTAATTTGTAACAGATTAACACATTCAAACACCCTTAATTTGCTCAGTTTTGTCTTAATCCAATATCTGCCACCACCACAAGTAAAAATCTAAACTAGAACAACATGAATGAAATTCAAACGGCATCAGCAAACAGATAAAATGGTAAATAATTCAAACCCATGATTCAGATAACATAATTAAGCGAAAATATAAAAGGATACAATTCCTTCATCAGAACCATTTTCCACCGACTTAAATCTTCAAATATTCCACCAAATTTGTGATCCTCAGCTTCAAACGTGGCACAAAACACACAGAACCAAGAACGCAGAAGCAGAATTTGAACCCAGAAAGCAGAAGAACAATTTTGAGAGAAGTCAGAGGAGGATTGTTTGAGCAAAAGCAGGATTGAGGAAGATATCTTTCTGGTTTTGCCAAGTGCAGGGAAATTAGATTTTGCTTATTTCTTCCTATTCTACCGTTGGCTTTGTAATAAAAAGGCACGTCACCAACTCAACCCCCAGCGCATTTTAGCATGCATCGACCAAGGAAACGGAGTCAATGAACGTCGGAAGACTAGACGGGAGTCCCTTTTTTGACTTTCTCGAGGTTCTAGACACGCGTTTTGCCGTCAAACGGTGTCGTTTCCGTTCATAAGAAAAATAGGAAGGGTATATTTTTGACGTTTGATTTTTACTAAAGAAAATGACTTGAAAACCTTGAATTTTAATCAAAATGACAAAAATATGTTGTAAGTGAATAGTACAAGGAATGATTTTTTAGATTAAAAATGTTATTTTCTTTAAAATGTAAACAGGACCGGAAATGTTTCGTTAAAATTTTCTTTATTTTTTTGGATTTGAATATTTTATTTTATTTTATATTGTTTGCTTGACGATGACACCACATTGCATCGTTCAAGTCGGCAGTATTTCCGCTTTTATATTTTTTGGATTTTCTTTTCTTTAAGTAATGTGATTAGAGGGGGAACGGCAACCACAACAAGGAAGGATTTGCTTTAATTTTGTTGTTTATATTATCCCTAATTATCCGGCAGTGTTGTCACGTGCTTATTTGTCTCCGGCCACAATATATAGATCGGGGTTCTATTTGTGCATGTCATCTCAAAATACGGTTTAATATGTCGATGAATCGAATTTTTGTGTGAATACGTTTGCGATTGCTTTTTAATCTGTCTAGACTGCACTATGGGAATCCATTAGCTCTAATTTTGATTGCTTGTCCTCAACAAGTGATCATCCTCCAAGGGATTTAAGCAGATTATTCATTTGATTATCGGTTTTGTTGGGTAACTCATAAGAGGAGGTTTATGTCATCTCTAACCGAATGAAGGTCAGAGAGCTCTCTTTGACCACATAGCTATCTAAGAAATTATATTTTAATGAACAGTGTTAGATCATATTTCATACCATCTCCAACAAAAGGGGCCAAATGATCATAGGCCAAAAAATCATCTTCAACCAAGGGGGCCAAAGGGCCCTAGGCCAAACATAATTTATTTATTTTTAATTGAATTAATATAGTTAAGATTTTTGGAGATATGAAGATTATTAGAAATGAGGTAAGATAGTATGAAATAGTGAAAAATATATGAGAAATGGTGTAGAAAAAAATAAGAATTTTTTTTTTAAATCGTCAAAAAAAAAAAGTGGGCTAGCTGGTTGGCTGGAGATGGCCAGTCCGCTAGCCTGATTTGTTGTTTTTGGCCAAGTAGGGCCCACAAGCCCTTTGGCCTAACCCTTGATTGGAGAAGGTTTTCGTGTCATTTCGGGCTATTTTTGACCCTATGGCCCTCTGGTCGGATCGGTTGGAGATGGCCTTAGAGGTGGGCATGGTCTAATTTGAACTGGTTTGAATTCAAATTGAAGGCAAGTAAATTACTAATAAAATACAAGTATTGTTCAAATTTTAATAAATTAAGGTGAGAAATCAGTACAAACCCGATGATATATTGTAGTGCGGTTTTATTTGTTAGATCTGGACCTTAGTCTGATTTTTTTTTTCTCTTTAGGCATTTTTTTAAGTTAGTTAGCAACCGATCTATTGCGACTCGGATCATTCCAAGATAAAATAAATAGATCTCACAATTTATAGATATAATAGGATACAAGTTTAGAAAGAAAAAAAATAGATTTTTGTCACCCTGCATGAGCATACAAACAAATTTCTTGTTAACATTTAAGAGACGAATATTTAAAAGTGCAACTTTGATCACATCAACTCAAATCCGTCCTTACTCAACTTGTTTGGAAACCCAATTAATGATTTTTTCGTTTTAAGTTTTCTTTGATTGAAGCTTTGTAGTTTGATTGTATTTTTGCAATGGTTTAACAATTGGTTTCGACACTTTTGGTTTCACTTTTTAGTGGATATTGATTTGTGGAATTGTAACTTTAAGTTTTACATGAATTTACGAAATTGAATTTTAACTAGTATTGACGTTATTTGGTTTACCTTTTAAAAAAGAGTAAATTATCATTTTACCACTTGAATATAACTTCAGTGAACTCCTTCAACAGATGTTATAGTTCAAGAGGTAAGACACTAGTTTATTCTTTGCAAAACCTTAAAAATAAGAAGTTACAAGATTTAGCTTGATAATAAAGCTGAGAAACACTCGAACTCTAGCGAATTGAACCCAATTTAAACTCGAGCCCAAATAAATCTAAACCCATTGTGAAGGTTAATTAGTTTAGAGGCTGACTTTCTAACCTAAGTTGCACCCCTACAAATAGTAAAATACCATGTCGTCCATGGCAAAAATGAAACCCCAAAACTAAAGTACGAAAGTCAAACAATCACCAAAAACTTCTGGGGTCAAATTTGTAATGATCAGTTGCATTATTTTGGGGTGGAAACAAGAACTCGTCGGACCCCTAACGCCCGCACAGCTCAAGGCCATTTGTTCCTTGCACTCTTGAGGCAGCCGCCGCCGCCGCCACCGCCTCCAGTGTGACGGTTGCCAAAGGTAAACTCTCTCTTCTAGTACATTCTAAATCTTCATGAATCCTATCGGCAATCTCTCTTTCCATTATAAAATATCAATGTATCTATATATATATATATATATGTGTGTGTGTATATGTAAGTTCTAAAGAGAGCTAAACACTTGGATGGATCTTTGTTATACACGTGAGACTATTAGAGATTAACAATAACTATGTTTGTAAGCTGATAAGGAATATGTATTAGAGTTTCTAGCTTGAACAGTCATGATAGAGTTACAACTCTTATATAGGATATGAATAATAAGTGATAACAGTGATAAGGTTAGATTAATAAGGAGTCACATAATGGGCAGTGTCCTTGTTGATTACTACTGTTGATAATATAAATATTTGGGGTCCCTGCACTCTCTTTAACGCAAGAAAAACCCAAAAGCTCAGCCCCATTCACTGAGACAATTGCATACGGTAGAAGAAGAGTAGCAGAAGATCCTTCGTACCCTTCGACATGTCTCCGACAGGTTAGTGGTTATATTGTGTATGTGTTTATATTATTCTGCTGTTAATATGTTATAAAGGTTTATCTTACAGTGTATACATTAGCTTCAAAAGTATATGCTCTGAAATTGGCAATGTCTCTTTGCATTTTTTGAATAATACTTCCGCACCTGTCGTTATAGCTTCAAAAGTTTGATTTTATGGTGGGTCGTATTGCCCCATAAATTGTAGCCATTTGGGTCTGTGGAACTTGTATGAATTTATAGTCTGCATGATACTAAACCCTAATCAAGTGACAAACATTTATGCTTGAACAGGTGGAGATTATTGTATTTATGATGGAACGTTGCTATGCATTTCGACTTTCGGATATGTAATTTTGATAGATTGTTTTTTTAAAGCAATTTAGCTTTAGAATTTGACAGTTCAGATTCTCGAACACAATGTTTTACACACACAGTCATAATTTTTGATATCTTTCTCAGCAACCAATTTAGCTTTGTGTGAATTTGGATTTTGTTTTGCTGCTGTAGTCGATTCGTCGACCAAGATGCAGAACGAAGAGGGCGTTATCACTGAGCTTTACATTCCTAGGAAATGGTATTCAATCTGGTGTAATGAATACTCTGTGATTTATATCATCGTTTGTTTTTGGGATTTTGATACGAAGTATTCTCCTAAAATTATGTGATCTGTGGATGCAGCTCGGCGACCAACAGGTTGATTACATCAAAGGACCACGCCTCCGTTCAGATTAACGTTGGTCATCTGGACGAACATGGCATCTACACTGGCCGGTTCTCCACTGTCGCTCTATGTGGTTACGTCCGCGCTCAGGTTCTCCTTCTTTCCCTCGTTTCAACACTTTTCATGACATGCCTGTTTTACGCAGTTGTCTAATTCTACTCTGCATTTACACTCTGGTTTCGTTATATGCCAGTTAATTCAGACACTTGCAATTACGAAGACTGTTAGTTCCGCTTCTGAGTTTTTGTCTCGCTTTTTATTCCTCAGGGAGATGCTGACGGCGGTCTAGACCGACTATGGGAGAAGAAGAAAATTAAAGCCAAACAAAACTAGAAAGAGATTAACCGTGTTTCTTCTATGGATTTGTGTTCTTGAGAATGGAAGTGTTGAATTTAGTGAACTGATCCATTTTGTTGAGTATTCTTTGCCTTTAGTTGGCAACTGTTTTGAACTATTCCCATTGCTAATGCATGATGATCTAAAAATTTGTGTTTTAAATGATGCATGAACGTCGGACCAAAAAGGTCTGTGGATGTTACCAAAAAAAAAAGAAGTATGTGGATGGAGAGGGACTCCCGTGTAACATGTTGTATATATCCTTCTCAATTTTCTTCGTCACATGATCATCGTCTGACTATTCATGCGATTAAAGAGATATAGAAAGAGACGAGCTTATTATCTACGACATTAGATAGTTAAGTTTTTCTCCCGTGAATGACCACAACTCTTCGGTGTAGTATTTCAACGTATGGCAAATATTTAATACGTGGTTTACATACTAGGGATTTATGATTAATAAATTTACTGTATCTCTTGAATTGTGTTGCAGTTTAGGGTTTGAAATTTGAATGATGAAATGGTTTATATTTTGCCATCTCTCTGTCATGCGGCATGTCACTATAAAGGAGAGATTCTAAATATGTCTTGTAACGATTGTATCTTCTGTTCTGTCTCCTAATCTTAACATGTTTATCACGTGATTATGATGTTCTTTACTTTTTATGACTAATTCTTATCATGTGAATTCGATGTACTTATCTTTTCTTATAAGTAATAGCCGTTATGTAAGTTTACGATGACACGTCAACTCTTTCGTCCATATCTATATTGTAACACGTGAATTACTTGACCACTTGATCACTTTCTCAAATGGGTAATTGTTGGGTGTCTAGCGTCTGATTATGGGCCGATTCTTGGACAAAGCCCAAATCCAATTAAAGTTTACAAGCAAAACAAAAGCATTTGATATGATTTGACAAAACAAAAACCCTAAAATCTCAGGCGTCGCCACACTGTCCCGTTGCATTGTCATTCCTCACCAGCAAACAAACAGATACTCCCAAAACTCCAGAGTCACTGTATCACACTTCCAATAGCACAACAAAGCTGGATATCCCAAAACCCTAATTCCCCAATCTCCCTTTCTCTCCCCTCTCTCTCCCCTCTCTCTCTCTAACCTCTGAGCCTCCACCGTGACAGCTTCTATTTCCGGCAACAGAAGAAATGGACCGTTGCCTCAGCCACGGCGAGTCTCTCTCCCCGAAGCTTTCAATCTTCGGCAACTCCAAGCCTTATTCGTCGAAACCAAACAGCTTCCGCTTCGTCCTCTACTCCAAGAAGTTCGATGCGCGAAACGCTGCCGTTCCTTCTCTGCGCCTCCGATCATTTCCGTCGCAGCTCGCCACTTTCACTAACCGTCCGAGTTGTCGCCGAGTCAACTCGGTCCGGTGCGATTCGGTTAATGACGGGGCTGCTGCGGCGAAAGATGGGGCGCCGCCGAAGCTGGGGAAGAGGACGGACATTAAGAAGATTATGATTCTCGGAGCCGGGCCGATTGTGATAGGGCAAGCTTGCGAGTTCGATTACTCGGGGACTCAGGCGTGCAAGGCGCTGAAGGAGGATGGATACGAGGTCGTTTTGATCAATTCCAACCCGGCCACGATCATGACTGACCCGGACTTGGCCGACAGGACTTACATTACGCCGATGACGCCCGAGCTGGTCGAGCAGGTTCTCGAGAAGGAGCGGCCCGACGCTCTATTGCCAACTATGGGCGGCCAGACGGCGCTGAATTTGGCTGTGGCGCTGGCCGAGAGCGGGGCTCTGGCTAAATACGGAGTGGAATTGATCGGGGCAAAGCTGGAGGCCATCAAAAAAGCAGAGGACCGGGAATTGTTCAAGCAGGCCATGAAGAACATTGGTGTGAAAACCCCGCCATCAGGGATTGCCACGACGCTGGAGGAATGTATCGAAATTGCAAATGAAATTGGAGAGTTTCCACTGATTATTAGGCCAGCGTTTACTTTGGGAGGGACTGGAGGTGGCATTGCTTATAACAGAGAAGAGTTTGAGGACATTTGTAAGGCAGGGATTGCTGCGAGTGTGACGTCTCAGGTTTTGGTGGAGAAGTCGTTGTTGGGATGGAAGGAGTATGAGCTTGAGGTGATGAGGGACTTGGCTGACAATGTGGTGATTATATGCTCCATTGAGAACATCGACCCAATGGGGGTTCATACCGGGGACTCTATCACTGTGGCACCGGCTCAAACTTTGACGGATAAGGAGTATCAGCGGCTGAGGGACTATTCCATTGCTATCATAAGGGAGATTGGAGTGGAATGTGGCGGTTCCAATGTGCAGTTTGCCGTTAATCCCGTTGATGGTGAGGTTATGGTGATTGAAATGAACCCGAGGGTATCTCGTTCCTCGGCTTTGGCATCCAAAGCTACCGGCTTTCCCATTGCGAAAATGGCTGCCAAGTTGTCGGTAGGCTATTCATTGGATCAGATACCTAATGACATTACAAAGAAGACCCCGGCTAGCTTTGAGCCTTCCATAGATTATGTAGTAACCAAGGCAAGTGCTTCTTCATTACCTTTACACAGTACTCTAATTAGACACTGATTAAACACGTTGTGCTTTATACTTGTTTAGTCACATGTTAGCGATGATGCAATGGTTAGACCTTAGAAGGGGTCATGGGGCTTAAGCTTTTTTATTCAAATATTAGATAATCATTGTTCATCAGCTTCCTGGATTATATGCTAAATCACCATTACTTATGCATGGAGGAACGTCATCAATCATTGTCGTTGTTCATTTCATTGATAGAAATACATTTTTGTTTATCCATGCATTCTTAGACCCGGTTTGTATGCCATTTCTTACTTGTTCACGTTGTATTGAATTGTACAGATTCCCAGGTTTGCATTTGAAAAATTTCCAGGTTCACAACCAATTTTGACTACACAAATGAAATCTGTTGGTGAGTCAATGGCGCTGGGTCGCACGTTTCAAGAGTCTTTTCAGAAAGCAGTTCGATCTTTGGAATGTGGTTTCTCTGGATGGGGCTGTGCTAAAATTAAGGAGCTTGACTGGGATTGGGAACAATTGAAGTATAGCCTCCGAGTCCCTAACCCAGAGCGTATCCATGCCATATATGCTGCAATGAAGAGGGGTATGAAGGTCGATGATATTCATGAGTTGAGTTTCATTGACAAATGGTTCCTCACACAGCTTAAGGAGCTGGTAGATGTGGAGCAATACCTTCTGGCAAGAAACTTGTCTGATTTAACAAAGGATGAGTTCTACGAAGTGAAAAAGAGAGGTTTCAGTGACAAACAGATAGCTTTTGCCACTAAATCCTCTGAAAAAGACGTCAGGATGAAGAGACTATCACTAGGTGTTGCTCCATCATATAAGCGGGTGGATACTTGTGCTGCAGAGTTTGAGGCCAATACTCCTTACATGTACTCTTCCTATGACTATGAGTGTGAATCAGCTCCCACCCAAAGTAAGAAGGTTTTGATTTTAGGTGGAGGACCAAATCGAATCGGTCAAGGGATCGAGTTTGACTACTGTTGTTGCCATACGTCCTTTGCACTTCAGGTTTGTCTCTGATATGTTTATTGCCCACTTGCCTATGTTTTCGTTTTCAACTCTCTCTCCTACCACTACCACACCCTTTTCATTCGTGAACCTAAGTTCCTAAGCAACATATAGATATTTTAACTTTTAATTGCTAGGCTGCATTAGCTGAATGCAATTGGTTTTAGATGTATTAGTCATAATAGTAATAGATCCTACTCATGAATCATGCATTATTTTTGGGCAAGTAGGATTGCAGAATTAGGCAGTTACAAATTGAGCAGTCAGACCTTTTTGTCTTCAAAACTGCAATTGGATTGCTCTAGCAAGATGCCTTTGGGATTTAGACTTGGGGGCGGTGAGTGTGATACACTTCATTTTCAGTGGCAGTTGATAAGAAATCTGGAGTTGCAATATCATGTATCTGTTATCTAATATAGTTCTATTAAATTTGGTACGTATGTTTCATCAATGAACTTAATGGAAGAAGGAATTACTCCTGTGTGATTAATGCACATACATGCAAACATAGTTATACATTGGCCGCCGTTACGTATATTTGTCCTGTGCAATCATAGGTTCCAATCTAAAAGATTACCTGCTATTTGTATAATTTGATGAATAGATGGTGCCTATGCATTTAAGACATGTAAATTGCTTAAATCCTCTATTGATATGCTGCTTCTCCCTTCTCTTCTACAGAAAGCAGGATATGAGACAATTATGATGAATTCAAATCCTGAAACGGTATCCACTGATTATGACACAAGTGACCGTCTATATTTTGAGCCACTGACTGTCGAAGATGTGCTGAATATAATTGATTTGGAAAGACCTGATGGTATCATTGTGCAGTTTGGAGGTCAAACACCACTGAAGCTGTCTCTTCCTATTCAGCGATATCTAGATGAGAACAAGCCTGAATGTGCTAGTGGGAACGGACATGTACGCATTTGGGGTACTTCACCAGCTTCCATAGATGATGCTGAGGACAGGGAAAAGTTCAATACAATCCTTAATGAGTTAAAGATTGAACAACCAAAAGGAGGTATTGCCAAGAGCGAAGCTGATGCTGTTGCCATCGCTAAGGACATCGGGTACCCAGTTGTTGTCCGGCCTTCTTATGTATTGGGTGGCCGAGCCATGGAGATTGTATATAGCGACGAAAAACTTGCGACCTATCTCGAAAATGCTGTTGAAGTGGACCCAGAGCGCCCTGTGTTGATTGACAAGTATCTATCTGATGCCATTGAGATTGATGTCGATGCACTTGCCGACTCTCAGGGGAATGTTGTCATTGGTGGGATAATGGAGCACATTGAACAGGCTGGAGTCCATTCTGGTGACTCTGCTTGCTCGATTCCAACAAAAACCATCCCTGCTTCTTGCTTAGACACAATTAGGAAATGGACTACAAAATTGGCTAAGAGGCTGAATGTATGTGGGCTGATGAACTGTCAGTATGCAATTACCTTGTCTGGAGACGTTTTCTTACTTGAGGCAAACCCTCGTGCTTCCCGTACTGTCCCTTTTGTGTCCAAGGCGATTGG